AGCTTCCCATCATTTAATTTTCTTTTAATTTTTTTACCTTCTCCTTTGAGTCTTGACATAATGTTTTTCTAAAATATTTCCGTTGACACGTTTGAACTGCTAGTTTAGAAAGAAAATATTCCAGAGATTTGCTCGGCTCATATTGTGTCCTTTTTATTTCCCCTTTTATTCTCATCGTTCAGGCCAGTCAGAAAGGGCTTATGCATGTCCTTTTCAATTCCATATTGTCTAACATTGATTCAATAATGAAAAGCTTTGATTTACCCTCTGTCAATAACTTAGAGTTGCACTTCTAATTGGTATAATCCAATATCTGTTAACCCCCAAAATAAACTTCCACCATTAAGAACTTTTTTGGGAGCAACTAAAAATGCCAAGTAAAACCCTTATCTATCGTTATTTGCCGTTGTTCTGTAAGTAAAACTATTAGCTGTCTCTTACATTTAAAAATATAACTAATTAAGAAATATAATATAAAAAAGGTTATACTACATATGTTTCTTTATGTCAAACAAATAATTAACATGATGTTTTACTATTAAAATTTCAATTCATCTTTCAGATTTGACTGTATACCTTACACTTAGTTTTCTTTTGTCAGTTGCAAGCTTGTTTATTTCCTAATCTATGCTGTTAACTCCAATCAGCCGAATAGGACAAACATGCAAAATAATAAATGAACAAATAAAATATACATTTAACAAAGCTCAGAAAAGCAGTAGAAAACTGAATAAGAAATACCCTTTTACAGTATGGTACTAGACTACTAGGTACATATGGTAGCAGGCACTTGTATCCTCAACCATATCATAGCCAAAGAAAATAATTGAGAAGATAAAGAAGCATACCCACATCAAGAAAGAAAAAAAAAAAAAACACGATTAATCATTTCAAACTCCATTCAAATGGAAAAAGATCTCACCATCACAGTGCAGCAATCCTCATACATCCCCAGGTGCATGATGTCCCCCTCATGTTTGCCAATCCACAACGAGTTCCAGTACTCTCGAATCCATTATTGCAACAGCCACAACAAGAGGGTGTGGAGGTGGAGGAACATCCTTAGAAGGTTCATGAGGGAGAGCAAGACCATGTGTAGATCCAAACCTATGTCATTTCAATATGATCCTGTTAGCTACTCTCAGAATTTTGATGAAGGCTCCCATCTTGAGGAACCTAGACGCCTTTCCCAAGTGTTTCAAGATGTTAGGTGGGATTTACATCACTGATTTTATAAAATTGTGATTCCTTGTTTAGGATTGAATGTAAGAAGGACAATGACCTTTGTTTTGACAGATGACAACAAATCTATCTTCAAGGTTGTATATGGTATCTCATTCATAGATATGTCATAATACCAAGGTTTCCTATATATATATATATATATATATATATATATATACTTAAACTGGATCTACTAGTATTGATGTCATTAATTTTTATTTCTGTACTGTGCAGTCTTTTGATTGTTGCAATTCTGTTTCATCGGTTGGATTCTCATTGAGAAACATGAAGTGGTACTTGGGTACCTATGTCTTATCACATGATGCTCTAACTTTCTGGTCAATGAACTAGAGCATGCCTAGCCTAACTCAGAAACATGATACCCTTTATATTTTTTTATGGGGTAAAATTTGAGAAAAACTCAAAAAAGGGATGGTATGCAATTGAAAAAATTATAGAAGAATGCAGATTCTCAGGTGTGAAATTAATGTCTTTCCCTCAGTGAATGATTAGGAACATCATTTTCTTTGATGGGTTTATGACTTGTAAAAGTCACCGCTCCCTTGACAGGAGTGAAGTTGTTTAAGATGTATGAAGTATAATGCGTTTGCAAAATTGTACTTAGCCGAGCATATTAGCTTATTTGATTGTCATTTTGATGAGGTTTGGTTGTGGGGTATATACACTTAATTTACATGTACAAAACTACAAAAAGAACATGCTAGTGGTATCCAGAATCATTGTATGCAAAAATCAGCATAAAGTGACCACTGTATGCCACGATGGTCCGTCTATGTTTGATGTTAGAAAAATTATATTTGAATATTTAAAAAATGACACTATACATGACATTCTACATAATTGTTTTATTTTTATGTACATATTTTAAAAACACTTTTCAAAATTAAAAGAGATATTAAAAAGTGTCTCGCTTTAAATGTATAAAAAACTGTTTTTGTCCTTTTTTTATTAAAAAAAAATCCCTTGGACCATGGAGCGTGGAGGGTCCGTGTATGTCACCTGCAATTGTAAGTTTTTTATATTTATAATAGCATTTTATTTCTTTATTAATTGTCATTGAGGACAGAGGATAACTCAAGTAAAGGGGAGATGGAGAACGAAAATGTACTAATAAGATGACATCTTTTGCATGATTTGAAAGTTTATTGCTCAAGACCCGTCAATGCTTTATGCCCAAAATTTTAATATGGTTTTATCTTGATCGTTTTGGCAACAATGAGTTTAACTCAATTTTGCAAATTATGGGTTTATGGGAAGTGCACGCCAAACGTTTGATGAAAGTCCCTTCAACCATGCATTTTGTTGATGATGCCGCTTATATACACTAGAATCAATGTTACCATTACCAGAGGGGTTGCTTAATGATGTTTAGTATGTGGAAAGCCATGTAGCCGTAGCCATTTGCTGTCGCTGAGCCATAACCTCTGTAGGGTTTACATCCCTAATGAATTTGATTTCCTTCACTTCATTGAAATTTTGTACAAAATTTACAAAAAATATATATGTATCATTATGTTTGAAATACAAAATAACATAAATTATTTGGTTAAAATTGTCGGGCATAGATGCTCACACATTTGGTTGGAGCATTGTAACATTTGTCATTTATTTAACCAAAAAGAAAATGGGTTAAAAGATCATCCCGATACCAAAGCCTAAGCTTAAGGCAAAAAAAAAAAAAGGAAAGCTGAAAATCAAGATTTTTAAATTTGTTTTGAGTGACCTGAATAAAATTAATTATCTTCCCAACTTATTTTTGGAATTCTATTTATCATGAGATTAACTTTTCTTCTCTTTACTTATGTAATATCAGATTAATATATGTTTATATATTATGTTAATATTATATTTTTTAATTCATGTGATTATTTAATTTTATTATATTATAAATGTTTTTATACGGTACGTTCTGAAGTATGAAGTGAGAGAGGAGGAATTTCCTAATTAGGGTTTTGAATAAGATGATTTTTTCTCTTAATTTTATTTATGGGTTTAACTTGTGTTTGTTTTCCTTAAATATTGCTATGTATTTCTAAAAACCCTCAGTTTAATTTTAAAACCTTAAATTTCACTATTTTGTATTTTGAAATACGTTCGTTATTGTTAAAGCATTAATTTGATGTTGGCCACAATTTTTTTAGTATGTTTCAAACTCCTACACTATCATAACTTTTTTTTCCCCTTACAATAATACTTTAAATGATTAAAATTTAAATTAAATTTTAGTATGCAATATTTTAAATGTAATCCAACTATGTGGGTGCGTTTTATTTTAATTATACTTTAGGTGAACTACATGGAGAACCTTTCAGTAATACATATATTAGCCTGTCAATTGAGAGCAGTAAGCAACTCACATTTTTGGAGCAGTTATGTTAATATAAACTCAATTCGAGATAAAATTTAGGTTATAATATTTGTTTTAGGAATTCAAAAGATTATGTAAAATATAGAATAAATATCCTTAAAATATTTATTCACCTTTTGGTTTCATCAATAAATTTAATTAATATTTATGGTTTAATATTTAATTTATAAGAAATATATTAATTTATTCTCTTTTATATCTAACTTATAGTTCACAGAAAAATCAAGTTTACAAATTTTTAAAATATAGGTATTAATTTACAAAGATAATTAGATATTAAAATTAAATTGATAGTATTTTTTTTAAAATGCTATGTCACTAGAGTACTCGTTAGAAATTATAAATACGTAGATCTTATACAACACGATAATTTATAATTAAACCTGTGTATAATTTAAATTTAAATATTTATTTTATATATCTTGCTTTGAAATTAAAGATAAATAAAACTTCACTTTCTCACTTTATATATTTACATTTTACGGGAACCAAATCCGTTATCCTATATATATAAATTTAAGAGTGAATCCAAGCTTTTAATAAGATATTTGGTTGAGAAAACGCATATTTAGAGTGGATTAGTGCTAAACAAAAAGTAGAAGGCAATCATGGGAGGAAGTAACAAAGAGTTTGATTATCCTTGAGAGTTTTATTCTCTTATTTATCTAAGTTGATTTACATAAATCAAATGCTGAATGCTATAGCTGATGAATACCGATACTTCTAATTCTAAAAACAGTGTAATTCCGTTAAATTAGGCCGGTGAAGATCAAAATTCCTCTTATGGAATCTAATTATTCCACATCCAATGTATTTTTCAAACACTGCGGGTCACAAATCAACCAAGAAGTTGAAGGTAACGTGTCTGGCACGGACTACACGTGGATGGCATGTGTAGATTGCAATGTTTTGAGACCGTGAGAGTTAGACTTGGCTTGGACCACTCGTTTCAATGATTAATTATTAATCAATTAATTAATTAATTAATTAATTAAAGTTGATTTTGAGGACAGATATTTTCTGCTCCTTCATTTTCTCTTGTTCATTTTGTTGTTTGATTGCTCTGTTTCACATCCACATATGTATTTATATTTTATCTTGAAGGAATTCTTGGTTACAGAAGGACAATTTTAAGTCAATGCTGTTTTATTTAAGATTTTTCCATATGCAGTTTTACAAGTAAAAGCCATGTTACTGATTAGATGTTATATATCTAACCCATACAATATCTGGAGCTGCAATGTTCTTTTCTGGGACTTTCTGAGTGAAGTAACATTCATCCACAAGAACTCTTCACTTTAGATGTGTGACCATTATGCTGCAATATCAATATATCTTTCTTTTCCAAATGTATTACTAAAATATTGAACCAAATTAGACTTGAACTTCATTTTGTGGCACTGCCTGATGTCTCACAAGCTTCTTGCTCAGGCTGCAATAACTGAAGTTGAATCAATTCTTGTGGATGCCCTCCTGCATGTATAGCATATGGAAGTGGAACAAATGCATTTCTGCTTGTTGCAGCCATATCTGCTGTACCATAAACCTGGGATTTCAAGCCTCAATGTTAGGCAATTTGTGCTTTTTATTGTTGCATTTCATGGCCTAAGTGAATATAAGTCTCTTGCAATTTTTGGGGATGCCATACTTATTAACTAAGCTTTGCTACCTTTTTGCATAGTTGTGCGTGATATTCATGTTGAATGAGGTTTACCTTCTTGTAAAGTTCCACATTTTCTTGATAGATTAGGTTTCCCTGCATTTGTGAAAAATAAAATATAAAGGTTAGTCAATTTTATAAAATTTGAGGAGAAAATTAGTGAAGGGCACCGCTTAGAAAGACCTTTCGGTTCAGCTCTTGGATTTCGTCTCTTAGAATTTGCTCCTGCAGAAATTGATTAAACTTGTTAATTGCTTCTAGTGTTTAGCTTGGTCATCAATAAGATTAATCAAGCAAGCATATTTATCTTCATTCATTCTTTGAATAAATCTAAGTCACTTGACCTTTTTCATGCGAACCCCTTGGAGACTCATTTCCAGTTGATTCTCCAGATCTTGTAGGTTTCTGACACTCAAACCATAAAGTTGTTCTCCCATCAATTGCCTGTGTAAAAGAAACATGTTACTGCTCTTGTTTTCATAGAACTTAATGTGATATGCAAATTCATTCTCGTTTATTAGTCACCAGTCACCACTATCAGCAAAGAGGGAAATGTTTTTGTTTTACTATTTTGGACTGTATGGTGTGGTGTATTAGAATAGTGTTTGATTGATGTGGTATCTTCATAATAGAATTTGTATTGAATTGTACTGTTGTTACATAATCCTTAGATAGACATTTAATGTTTTCTTCTTTATTTAATCCACAAAAAAAGGAAGAAGAGTCATCACTTCAATGAAAATCTTCCTTATGGTTGGTGTCTAGTGGGATTTAGTATTCATGTTTATTGAAAGTAGTCTGAGATGGATAGAAAAGTGAATACTAATTTTGCATGGACTATTATTCTCAAGCTATTCTGAAATAAAATAAATAAATAAAACTATAAACTTCTCTGACTGATTTAGAGCAAGCCTTTTTTTTTTTTTTGTATGTTTCAAATATTTAAGTTTGTCTCTTCCAAGGAGGTCATGCATAATGATCTTCTATTTTGTTGAAGAATCTACATTTTAATAATTTGAAATCATCTTGTGATCTATAAACTCACTGATGACACAATACCAGAGGATTTCAATCTGCAAGTCCATGCTAATAAATCAATCTCACATCTATAATATATATATATATATATACACACTAAAAAAAAAGTAAATTTAGGCTTTCTTTTATTTATTTGAGATATTTATGTTGATATCTAATGCTTAATTTGGTTGTATTGAGAAGGTAACAAACAAAAGTGGAGAGTTGATGGTAGTTTATGGCATTGACGATTGCATTGTTTTTTCTAGTTCCAAGGGCTCTATCAAAGCATTTATGCAACGGAAATATGAAATGCATTTGATAAAAGGGGTTAATAACTAACATGCTTTAGTGTGGAACTTTGGATTGTCTTTGCTTACTTCATTGTTTCTATTTTTTTTTTTATCTAATTTTTAATTTCCTGCAAATTGGAAATGGAAGTTATTTCTATTCGTGGGGATCAGAATTTTATTTCTAATGATTTGAGACTAAATGGAGTTTGCAGTGACAATCAAATCTTAATTATATGTCATAGACATTTTGCTGGATTCAATCCAGCATGCCATGACACAGCCAATCTACTGTAGTATGATAATACCTTTTTGTCTGACACTGCAGTGCTTCCAAAACAATACCTGTTTTGTTTACTTTATAGAATTATAAAAAAATTGCTAAATAAATCAACATTTAGTAGAAAGTTTGTACCGATGGTTTTCTTGTAGATTCTGTAGTTGCTGCCTTAGAAATTCTGCCTCCCTCTGCCAAAACTATCAATTATCAAGTAAAACAACGTAAATAAGTAATGCAGGATGAATGGTTTTTATCATTTTGAGTTAGTTCCTAACAGAATACTTCAACATGATCCACAATAGAATACAAATCATTGTGATGTCTGGTTGTGTCACATTTATAACATGCATGGTTGTGTCATATTTATAATATGTACTAACCAGAAATAGGATTTAATTGTTTTAAAATTGGATAGAATTGATTTTAAATCATTGAACTTAATTGAAACATGTGCTTAAAATAATTTAAGTAACACATTTTACATTGAAATATGTGCATAGTGTAGGAAATTTATTCTTACGGTAAAACAAATAGGGTCATATTTGTTCCTCTGTTTATAGTAGAATTATAGCACTTTTCCACTTGGAATCTATTCTAGAGACACTATAGATAGTATAGACTACTCAAAATCTTGACTCCATAAATATCAAGCAAAAAACCCTAAAAGTTTAAAAGGTGGTGCAGTTATAGTCCCTTCAAATCCCCAGGAAATAAAGTTATTGTCTTAAAGAGAGAAAATTAGGACAGATCTATTCAATCTAGACATATCATAAATACCTATCCCTGTGTAGTTTATTTTGGTAATGCTTGGGATTCGATTGATTCACTTGGCTGACGCATGAGAAATCTAGCAATTAGGTGAGATAAAATTAGTAGTCTTTAACACTGTAATAATGAGTTTCTAACAGTTGAGAGATTGTCCAAAGATTTTTATTTTTATTTTCCTTTAAGGGGGAGAGGTTTGATCTTGCTTTTCACATATAAGAACGGAACCATATACAGTTTTGCTTTAAGGTCCTAGAAAATATTTGTCATTTTAATTAGGCATTACTACACGCTTAATGGGACTATTTACTAACTTCATGAAAATCAGAAAAGAAATATGGTAAACTTCAAATACACTTTGCTTGTAGCTGCAGTTTATGGCCGGAAAGAAAAAACAAGGCATGGGACAATTCTGAGTGGTTAACAGACATACCTTGACTCCCGGTTCTGAATTTGTCAATTGATCTTCCTCCTTGCATGTGTTATATCTCTCGATCATTGATTTCATGCTGGTCATATATATATAAATGAATCTTTATATTTTTTATATTTTATTTCACAAAATTGTTAAAGAGTTTCATTTGATTATAGAAGGCTAAATGAGGATAACACATTGTAAAAACATTCAGAGCATATCACACCATCAAAAGATATATAATTGAATAAGTTTTTTAATTTTCATAAATAAAATTTGGTTTTAATATTTTTAAAATTTTATTTATTTTGATATTTATAAATCTAAAATATTTTTTAAATAGTCACCGTTAATATCTAATGATGATTTGACATATTTTTAGTTATGACACATTAAGGATTATTTTAAGAAAATAACATGTTTAGATGTATATCACGTAATTAATAAGTGATGATAGAGAATGTTCATAAAATTTACAAAAAAAATTAACAAAAAGGTTTTAGAAAACTAGAATTAAAATTAAGTATATTTATCAAAATTAAAATCATATTTTACTAAAATATATAGTTATCAATATTACGTTTTTATGAAAAAAAGATTAAGTAATCTGATTAAAAAAATCATCTGTAGCAACAAATATTATTGAGAGTGAAAAAATAGAAGGAAAAAAGTAAGTTAATTTTTTTTTACTTATATTTTCTAATTTGATAAATTTTTAAAAGAAAAATAAATTAATATAAATTCAATGCTTTAGAAAGGTCATGCTTAATATAAATTTGATGCTTATCTAAAGAGCAATGGTTAATTTCAAAGATCACATTTGGATTTCTTATTGCAGTATACAAATCATGATCCTAGATAAGAAGTTGGCTATGGTGGATATCTAGCACCTACGAGTTTGTAGGGATACAGCCATCATAGTTTCACAATATGAACCATTAATTCATAGTGAGCTTGTTGTATCAGTTATCTGTCAGTTCAATTGTTAGTGTAGTGCATTACTCAATTTGTTAGTCTCAATAAGAAATGCTATCTTGTCTTCCACGGTGCATGTACTCTACATTGCACCAAATTGCCTCCTATATACTCCAAGTGTATTGCACATTATGATAAATCAGTCAATTTCTCTCAGTCACATTTAAAACAATTTTTTAAAAATATTATTTCTTAGAAACCGTGGTATTAGGATCCTATGATAACGCTTTTGATTACCTTTTCTTTTTAGAAAATATTATACTAAGGGTAGGTTATTTTAATATTTTAAATCATATTAATAAATGTTTTGTTAACCCCAGCCTTTAAAATTGAGGATAAATAGTTAATAATAATAAAATTTTATTAAAAAGAGAAATATTTATTATATTTTTATAATTTTAATACAATAATTTTATATTTTTTTTATAAAAAAAATTATTTATAAATACTTAAACTCAACCTTAAAAGTTAAGGTTAACAAAACTTTATTAATAATAATAACATCCATAAAATCTTTGAAGTTAAATACAGTTACTTGAAAAATGTCAGTAGTATATTTTTAATACACTTTTTACAAGTTATTGGTTAAAATTTATTTAAAATAATAAAATTATATATGAATGTTATTTTTGATTTAGTAAATTATAATCATAATTTTATTTTTTTAAATTTTAAGCTAATCACCCTTCCGTTTTAGAATATTACAAACAAGATATTCGTTAAAAGAACTCTTCCTGCAAAATTATTGTTTACTCACTATGACTCCCGCTCTCGTGGGTTAATTAGCTAATTATTCAAATTGAAAAAAAAAAATATCTTATATTTACAGTTAAAGTAATTTTTTTAATAGTGGAATAAAAAATGAGAGATACTAACTACATTTAAAACTTATAAAACTATTCTAATATTATGTGATTCATTATGATGTATTTAGAAAATACGGAATATGGTTAGGTTTAAATTTAATAATATTTATAAAGCTTTTACGTAATAGGTATTGTTTTTATTTATCAAATGACTTTGAGTTTGAATATGAATAATTATCTACAAAATTTCATAAGTATGAATGATAACTCAAGTATTATAATACCCAATTCATACCTGTATAAATATAATAGATATATTTGCATAACTAGATATTTTTTTTTATAGTTTATAACTCAGGTTTAAAAGGTTTTTCGATATTTTCAAACTGAGTTAAATGTTCTATTTTTATTTGATATTTTTATATTATTAATTTTATGACAAAATTGAATATTAAAAATTTTTAATGTCTTAGTTTATTAAAAAAAAGACACACTAAAATATTTCATTTAACTAAATTGTAGATAATAGATTTGAGCATGGTGTCTAAGTACCTATAAGGTATGGATGAACAATAAAGTTATTAAGAAGTAGAGGTAGTTTTTAAAATTATTTTAGGTAATTCAAACCAAATTAATCTAACTTAAATTAAGTTGGTTTGGTAAATATATTGTTAAATTAAATTAAAAGGACAATTTTGTATTTTTTTATTTTTCTATCTTAATTAATTATTTTATTTATAACTTGAAGTTTTCTACCATTAGAAATTATGATGGAAATAGGTCAGGCCGGTCATTATAGCTTAATTTTTTAAAAGTCTAATCTATTTAATTAACAAGTTTAATTTAAATTTTTTAAAAAGTTTAATTAATTAAATGGGTCAGACTTGAGCTTAAGAAAAAGCTTATTAAGCCTATTAGAATAGTTTATTTAAAATTTATAATAATATATTAAATCAATTAAATTTTAAAATAATAAAATATTAAATTAAAAACTTTAATTTTTTTTTATTAAAGTTGAAGGTCTTTACTATATACTTTCTAATAGTTTATTTAGATATAAGCTTTATAAATTTTAAAAAACCATATTTATTTAAATGATTTAATAGTTTATTTATAAATAAGCTTAATAACTTATTGAATGTATCAATATAAAATAGATATAAAGTAGGTTATTAAACATATTAATAAGTTAAATTAGACTTTTACAAAGATCATGTTAAGTTCAATAAAAAAACTTATAATAAATAATAAACTAAGCTTAGACTTTAAAATTATTAAATAGATCAGACTTATTTATGCAAGACATAACTTAATCTAACCTATTTTTATTCCTGAGATACTGGCTTTTTGCTCTATCATAATCCAAAAGAGCAATAAAATCACATTCGGATGTTGCTATTGCATTTTATTAAATTTTAATAACTTTTACCACTATGTTTTGACATATCTATTTATTTTACTTACCCAAATATGATAACAAGATTGGATAATAAACATTACAAAAATATTCGATAATGGTTTGGGCACAAAGAAAGGTGACAAAAGAAAATTAATTACTAAAGTTTAAAACGCACAAATTTAAAAGATTAAAAAATAGAGCTAATAAGTTAGTTGGATTGGGGGTTTATTCTCCAGATTTAAAATTCATGAATACATCTAACTTGATGAAATACTCCTATTCAGCATGTAGTAGCCTGAACTAATATTTACTACTACTTTTTTTCATAAAAAGAATTTATGTTATCTCTTACCTTCCTCTTTTTACTGTCATTAAACTTTATTTAAAAAAGGCACGCTAGACTTACCAAACAGGATGATTAAAAAACTAAATTTACAACACAGTGCTTCATATATATTAAACTATAATTAGAAAATCCTTATAAGGAAACGAGACTATATTATTTAAAAAGATTTTTTTACTAAATTTTCATTTTCATTAATTAGAGAGACGGAAAATTAAAAGGGGGGGGGGGGGGGAGGGATTAAGGAGACATATTTGAATTTTTCCTCTAGATAATAATAATAATAATAATATGGTTTTACAAGCTATTATTTAGAGACAATAATTAAGAAATTAAAATATAAATAATATATTGAAAATATTAAATATTATTCTTTTAATAAAAAAATATTATCGTTTCCTTTATTATTACCCTAAAGCTGTGAGGCAATGATTAGTAAAACCAGTAATACAATACAGCAAATTGATATTTAACTTCACATTTATGAATTACACAGTAACGAAACTCGCTGTATGTTTTTCTAATGTTATATCAATAAGTATATCAAACAAAAATGTTAAATAAGTACAATATACTTGTAATATAGTGTCTGTTAGTATCGTTTTAAAAGAACAGTATATTTTTCAATTGAAAAATATGTTTTAGGAAAACATTAAGATAATCAGATATATACTAAAAAAAAAAAAAGGAGCAGTTTTAGTGATTTTTATAATTAAATCGGTATGTTTTAGGGGGGGATTAGAAAAGCTATATTATAAAAGCATTTCTTTAAATTAGAAACGTATCCAAAACCGTAATTCTGCATGACGTTATCGACTTTAAGGAAAAGCTGAAGGATTCAATGCATCTACTACCTTGTAAAGCAGATTGAGGTTCAGTGATTACCATGGGCTAAGACTAGGAAGCGTGGATACAAGAAAGAAAAGTACTCACTTCAAGTCGGTGTAAAAAGAAAATACAAAACAAGAATGATATTACAATGAAACCTGCCAAAGCAACTTGCTTAGTTAGCTACGTTTATTTATGTGATAAGGTTGTCTATATCAAAACTAGGGGAGACAACACTTTATCCAATGCATGCATGTATTTGCCAGTGATAATGATCCTATATGGGACTTGACTATTTGCTTTTGGAATGGAACGTTGCTCTAGCGACCACTACACTGCTACCTAACACTTCCAAATCCTCAATGTTATTTGACATGACTAATTAAAGGCATGTATCAGCTAAAATCATTTAGATTGACAATGGCTAAAGTTATACAAAGATTGGAATCGTGCATATATACTTTTATGCAACCTTCTAAAATAAGCAAAACTAGGTTGACATGGCGATAAAGATATATAAAAAAGAAAAAGAAAAAGAGGTATATAAATTGATTAACTACTCAAAATGAATTGCAGTTCTACTGGCCATGGATTGGTGGATAGTACGTTGAGATACCTTTTTCCTTTAATGGGCTTAAAGTTCTAACTTAAATATATAGTGTTTCACCTATTAATGTTCCCTGGATCTGTCTATCGTTTTGCTGAAACCATAATATATCTGCTTGAGAAATTGAATATTGGTATGAAAACAGTTTTACAACAAAGAAAAAGATGGAAAATGAGAGAATATAAGATAATTGTGATGGCTGATCCTGATGTGATAAAGAGAAATAAAATAATAATAATAATATTATAGATGTTATGAAAATTTTGTTGCATGAATAAGTGATCTTTATCTGCATGGTCATATACTGTTTCACATATTTTGCAGCTACTTCAGTACTTTTGTTGGATTGACGAGTTACGACTCAAGAATATAAATATTCAATACAGTTAATGTTTGGAGAAAACTAGTGGAACTATATTGGTGAATACTAGCCAATATAGATCTCTTGTCGGGGGCTCTGCCTTTGGATAAGGACACGAGAAGGACAGGTTCGGAGGTCTGTTACATCTACTCATAAGTCTTTTAAGTATCAGTTTTAAAGTCTTGTTACTAGATAAGAAAATAAAATTATTTTTTTAAGTATTAAACTTACGACAAAAAATATATTAATAGTATATTTTAATAATTTTTCACTTTTAATTCTTTAAATAATACTTTGAAAACACTGATTAACATTAAAACAATTTTTTAAATGGTCCTAAAAAATATTATCATAATCAAACTGCAGTTCTTTTTTCATTTATAGACTTATTGAGCTTAGTGCAGTATGATGGTAGTATCTTTATTCTGTTTCCAAGATGATACTCTTCTAATATCCTACTACATCTGGCAGCTGCTAAAACCCTTCAGGTTAATTATTGTCAGAAATTTGAGAAAAGTGATGATAATTCATATGGCATCCACTTGAAGTTCAAAACATTATTAATATATGCTATCTAGCTAGGACTGTCAAGCACATGCCTGAATCCTGGTCTCTTTGAACTCATAGCCATGCATTTACATATGGTGATAAATAGTCTTCAATAAGTTAACATAAATTAAATAAAAACTAATTAAAATCCATTAAACTGCAGTCAAATAGAGAGGAATTAAATTTAGGTTCAGATAACAAACGACATGATCTGTTCATATCATGAGTATATTTATATAACAGAAATATCCAAACATTGTATTAGCAAATTAAATAATAATGACCAAACCTGGTGCTTGCATATTCGTAAAGCTTTCCTGTGCTGGAGAATATGACAACTCCAACTTGAGCATCACAGAGGATTGCAAGCTCTTTGGCTTTCTTGATCAAACCCTTTCTCCTCTTAGAGAAAGTCACTTGGCGGCTAGTGGAATTGTCGATCCTTTCAATCACAATCTTCCCTCTTCCCATTATTCCACCTCTACGCACCTAGGGTTTATGAAATAATAAATTAGACTAATTGATTTATAGTAATAGAAAAATTAACACAAAGTTCAGTAAAGCTAAATCGGAGCATAACAATGAATTCTTACTTGGTAGATATTCAAGATGAGTCAGAGGCTTTGGTGGTGCAAGAATTGATAGTGTGAAGCTGGCTTTGCATTTTTTGGGTGGGAAGTGGTGAGAGCTTTATAAGCAGAAAAAAGAAAGCAGTTTGTGGGTGGAAGAGAAGCGGCTTGTGGCAGTGGGGCAGGTTACTATGTGGGTTTAAATTAAAAATTGGATCACTGCTACGTATAACTTGTGAGTTGTGACTGTGTAGTGTACTTTCTACAGTGCAGTATTCAAGGATATGAGTTGTATTTGTTCTATAGTTTTGAGATTTTTTATGGCGCCGCCAGCCGTATAAGCCCCTGACACGTTACAATTACAATAATTCATTTCGAAAATGCTCCTTAAATATTAACCAATCGCTGCTTAATTTCTTTTTTTATATGTAAATTAAATTATCAAAACGTATATTAAAAATATTATTTTTATTCTTTAATGCATTGTTCAAGACAAAGTGTTATTAAATTTGACTTTCATATACATTTTTAAAATATATGTATACAAAAAATAAAAAAGATAATTATATAAAATACTAACTTTTAATATTGAAAATTTTTAAAAATTAACAGTAATTATTTCCTGACAAAAGTAAGTGTAAAAATGTCAAAATTGTATAAATTTCGGCTAAATTAATTTATTAATCTTTCAACTTTTTATTTTTTTCCTTTTTTTTCTATTTTTTAAAATTGTTAAATAATTTTTTTCTATTAAAAACATTAATTTTTTTAAAAAATAAATCAGTTGCATCTTCTTCCTCTTTAAGTTCTTTTTATTGTTCTTTCTTCTTTTTTTCCTTCTTTTTCTTTTTCTTCTTTTACCTTTTCTCTTTCACTCTTTCATGAATGTCTTCTAAATTTGATTTTCTCATCTTCCTTCTCTTGTTTTTCTTTTCTCTTCTTCTTCCTCCTCTTTTTTTTTTCCTTTTATATATAAGTTCACTTATATTTTATCTTTGCTCATTGTTATCATTTTCATTACAACTATCACATCCGTTGCACTCAACTTGTATACGATCAAATTAACAAATCTATTATGTTAAAAAAATTTGTCAAAATGTACTGTGTGTTTGTTGAAGTTTAAATTAAACAAAAAAAAAATTGTGTGGTGAAAACATGATTGAGTAAAAGGAAGAAAAAAGAAAGAAGAAAGAAAATATATTCAAGAGAACAGAAAGTGCCAAAAAGAAGTAAATAAACAATGAATTTTTAATAGAGTTAATGTTTTTATAAAAAAAAACAACTTATTTAAAATATTTTTAAAAGTTAGAAGAATAAATTAAAATAAAATAAAAAATTCAGAGACTAATATATTAATTTAGCCTAAATTTCAATATATATACAAATAAATTTCATATTTCACAATTATTTATTTTATTTCATATTGTTAAAAAATCGGTTCATTATTTTTCAGTGAAGAGATGTATTTGTTGACTCTGAAATAAAAGGTTCAAGAATATAAATTAGATTAAAAGAGAAAAAACATAAAAATTTATATATATCCCACCATAGATAATTTTCTTCAAGTGAAAGGTACATTTGTCCACCCTCAATCATACGTAGATCCACTTAATTATGGTCACGGAGCGGATTAAAGTTTGCACAGAAGCTCCTTTATTGATTTTGATTTTCTTGGTGGTAAAATGACTGGCTCTAGATTCTATTTCCACCTGATTTGGTGAGATTTTTCACAGCTTTGAAGTGGCAACTTGAGTAGTTTAAACTTCATCTACACGGGCACCACCCACTCTCTTGAGAACGTGAATGGCGAGCAGATTGTCAGTGCAGTCAATAGAAACATTTCGTACTTTGGAGTATCTCCTGACTCCTCATGTCATACATGCGACGTATGATTCTACGAAAGATTCCGATAACCCTTCTTGCAACCTCGGTAATGAATGGTCATATAGCACAAGTGTCTTTAACCTCTATAGGGTGTTGCTATTAATTAGTTACAAATTTTAGTTAGCCTATAATCTTTTTTATTAAAAATCATTATAGAAGATTATTATAAATTAGCTACAGGTTTTAGTCTTTTATTATTTTTTATAAATAGATTCACAATAACTGATATTTATCGAAAGACGAAAAGAAACACAGCTTGCATATGTCTTATTATGTGAATTTATTAATTTTTTTATTTGAATGACCTTGATACAAAAAGTCATTCAATTAAAATTTGTATCCATCTTCTTTTATATTAAAAAAATTAAACGGCCTATTAATCTTTGAAAATAAGAAGAAGGTAAATGCTAGTTTTGAAATGACTGATTATATGCATGAGAAAGATTTTTTTTTTTTATACATGAATAACTGGCTATTTTATAAATATTGTTGCGAATTATTGTTAAAATTTGTAATGTATTTTAATTTTAAAATGAGATATATTTTTTCTTAATCTCATCCACAATAAAATACATTAAGAAGTTCATTTTTTATATTATTATCCAATAATGAGTTGCTTTCTAATTAAAAATTATGGACTCCTATAATAATTATTTTAAAATTTATATTCAAATAGTTTTGAATTAGTTGATAACATAAGTAGATTTAAATTAATAATATAGCTCAATAAAATCAAATATAGCACGAAAAGTTTAAGGGTACCCCGTGTTAGCACAAATTTGTCATTTACCTCCAAAACATGTTATACCATGAAAAGTGGTAATACTTACTCTATAAAGGAAGGTTGAGAAAGATTATGGATCTTAACTTGTTTATGTGATATACCAAATCTTCTGTTAAGAGAATAATGTGAATTAATCAAGTTAATATACTACATTATAATGCACTGAAGTTAGAGCTATCAAAATACACTCTATATCATAAGTTAACTCAACTTGACTCATCAGTGAGTTTGGATTCTAATTTTTTTTATTTTTTAAATGTACTACTAATGGTTATAATAAGAAAATATTTTTTAAAGCGCATTTAACCAAAGCAAAAGTTTTTAATATGATTTTTTAAACTAATGTTTTGCAAATTTTACAATGAGTCTAATTTAACGGAGTATTACAATTGAATACTTATAACATTTCTTTTATGTTTTAAACTTTGATAGAGACTAAAAAAATTATGATGTTTTAAAAATAATGATTATATTTAATTTTATATGGTACGTTATATTTTTGCTTTTATATAAAACCAAATACAACGACTTTCCATCAAATGGCATAAGCGGGTGGTCTTCAGCCATTAAATTCAAGGTTACAACTTGGTTCATAAATCAATGATAAAATTTAATAAACCGACTGATGGTAATTTACGTTAATACAAATTTATATTGCCATGATAAAATTTAATATATAATTGACTAAAGATATTCAGTTATTATTTAGCATTTAAATAGTATATATTTCTCGAAATAACTAGTAGCTTAACTTTAAGAGACATAGATATTCTAGACCTTAGTAACACGTAGTTGGTTCAAATTATGGGGTATTTGTAATTCAGTTTTACTCAGTTTTATTAAAAAAATTATGCAAATCAAGTATAAAAATAAAATATAATTTTATTTGGTTATTTTTTAATATAATATCAAAATAATATTTTACGATTTAGTTTGGATTTTTTAATTTTAATTTTTTATTTTTAAAAATATATTTCATATAAATTTTAATTTAAAATAAAAATTATCTCAATAGTTATTTTGAAAAATTAAAAATTAGATAGAGACATTAATTGGACGAACATTACTGTGAAAAAATGGATAATTTTTTTTATAACAACAAAATACTCAATTGAGAAAAGAGAGAGTCTAAAGTAGATAAAAATGGTACATCATATATTTACATAATGTTGTAATAATATTAAGGATAAAATATTTTACATGAAAAAATAACAAAAATATTATAAGTACTTTTTAATTTGATTTTAATAATAAAATACAAAAACTAAACAGCAATATAATTTTTTTCCAATTTTTAATTTGGTCCGTTTCAATTAATCAAATTTTAGTTTTTAAAATTTGATTTAACGGTTTGGTGAATTTTAAGCTCCCCTAATTCAAACACATTCATTTTACGAGTGCTTCAATGAAAACTATAGATAAAAGACAAAATGGAAGAAAACATTAAAAAAATTAATTGGCATGCATTAACATGTTTAACGCTAAATTTATTTTTGTTATTATAATATTTATTTTTAAAAAATCAATCTATTGATGTATTGCAAGTATTATAATTCTATATTAATAATACAGCACGTTATATTTTAACAAATAATTTTGTTAGTATTAATATCAACTATCATTATATTATACTTTTAATACTATATATTATCTCATTAGAGTAAATGTATGATATTTATAATAATAGCTTTACTTTTATTTTAAAAATATATATATTAATGATAATAGTAATTTTAACACATAACATTTTAATGTATAATATTTTTTACTATAATGTTATTTTAATAACTTTGTTTATAGTTTATTAAAAGATGATCGTGAGAATGTCAATATATGATCAAGTTAATGTTATTTGTTTTTTTAGAATAAAAATATTTTATTTTTTAGTCAAGTTGATATTATTTAATTTTTTAAAATCACATGTATTTTATATTGAAAATAATCTATTTAAACTAAATAATATTATTATAAGTGACAATTTTTTTAATATTTGATACAGCTGTGCTTATTATAACTATACTTAAACTTAAGATTAAAAATAAAATTTAAATAATATGTATGAATTAATCTACGTATTTAATAATGTTTTATTTTAAAACAAAATGTTCGTGTTGCATAATTTTCTTAAAAATGAAAGTTGATATTAGCTTTTTAGTCCTTCCACTTTAGTCTAATTTTTTCACCCCAAGAATTATGTGTTGTAGGCCCTGCATACCTATATTAAAAAGTGTTAG